GCAGCAGGGCCTGCTGGGAAGGGCGGATGGCGGCATGCTGGGAAGGAGGCATGGCAGCGTTTTCTTCCCAAGCCGTTTCAGATCTATGGGCCCCTCTCCTTTTCATTTCTGCCCCCAGAGCTTTAGCCTCGGTGAAACACTTACTCGGGTCCTGGTATGAAATTATCAGCCTCGACTCGAAGCTTTCGAATGACTTTGCACCCACGCTTGTCCTCATACAGTACCATATCATGTCCTGATGCCGTGTTAAGGCTCTGTATTTGCCCCACTGCTGCAAAGTGAAACAGGTGGTTGTTTTTTTTTCTGTGATTCTGTATTTTGCGCGCTCGTGCTTTCTCTGGCCCTGGGAGGAACTGCGGGCTCTAGATTCAGAAGTTAGAAGGTCGTGGGTTCGAGTGTCCCATAAAAGTGCTCCAGTGCACCTGGCGGTATAAAATGGGTACCAGCTTTGGCAGGGGCAACTCGAGGGCATGTCACATGTCACAAGCTAAAGGGCCCCGGAGGTCTCCTGGCTCAGACTTGGACTTGCCTTTGGGACGAAAAGCCCTGTTATTGTCATTTTCATGTTCCATAAAACAGATGATCAGATTTTGTCGGGGTTTTTTTTTTTGGGTGGAATGGTTAAAATCAGGGAGGGGACTGGTGGTGTGACAGTTAATAGCTGCCACCACATAGAACCTTGGGTTCAGGGTTGATTTTACACTGCCGAGCCTTCTGTGCGGAGTCTGCACGTTCTCTTTGTGCTCATGAGGGCTGTCTCTCTGGGAGCTCCAGTTTCCTGCCACTTTCCGCAGGTAAATTGGTGTTTTGCTGAGGTGTGTATGTGCTCCCGGGAATGGACTGGTATCCTGTCCAGAGTGTAGTCCTTCCCTGAGCTCCTAGGATAAGATCCGGTTGGCCTTGACCCTCGGCAGCATTAATTGGCTTTCTGATGTGTGTGGTCACGACCTGCAGCATTCCCAGATGGTGCAGATGGTGGGCTTCTGATCACTATGCCTTCTTTCTGTCTGTCGGAAGGTGGGCGCCTGTGGCTTCAACAGCCGGATCCTGCCCTTTGTCTACCCCACCAGGCTGGTGAAGGTGGACGAGGAGACCATGGAGCTGATCCGCAGGCCCGATGGCGTCTGTATTCCCTGCAAGCCAGGTACCGGCGCCTGGCTTCTCACACCTTCCTGAACGCTTTGAGCCCAACATGGCGGCGCTCTGGAACCAACAGTGAAACGCGAACTGGAGGCCACAAGTGAAAACAACATGAATTGGACATTTAAAAAGGAGAAGGGGGGGGGGCTTCTTTACACAAAGGGTGGTGGGTGTGTGGAACAAGCTGGCTAGCCATGTTGTTTAAGCCAGTACGCTGGGATCGCTATTTAAGAACCGTGCTATAGCAGAAGGCAACATGGGGGGGGTGACCTTCTAGCTGGCTCACGTACACAAAGTAATCTCTCTCTCTCTCCCTCCGCAGGGGAACCAGGGCAGCTGGTAGGCAGAATCATCCAGAACGACCCGCTGCGGCGGTTCGATGGCTACGTCAGCGAGTCCGCCACCAGCAAGAAGATCGCCCGGGACGTCTTCAAGAAGGGGGACAGCGCGTACCTCTCGGGTGTGTAGCGGGGCGCGGAGCTGGAATCGGACGCAGGGGTGGTCCTGCCTGCCCCGTGCACTTCCCTTTCGAGCCCCCAGTCTTCCCAGCTGTGGGAATCCCTTGCTCAGACCCAGTTCTGCGCCCGGAAATTTTAAAAGGGTGACTGGACTTTTCACCCACCTGTGTGGCCCCGTATTGTTCTCCGGCTTCCTGCGTCCCCTACCCCCGCCTCGCTGGGCATATTTTTCCACATGGGCACGCACACTATTTTCAGTTCCCTCTCACTTGTGCTCCACTCATTTAATTCCAACATGGATATCCAGCAGGTGTTAAATTTGAATTCACGCGATTGTATCTGTGGGGTGGCACAGCGCTCTGCATTGCTACCTCACATCACTGGGGGGCCCGAGTTACAATTCCGGTCCCCGGGGTGCTGTCTGTGTGGAGTGTGCGTGTGTTCTCCCCCTGTGTTCGCATGCACGCGAGTTTCCTCCCACGGTGCTTCTGTGCACTTGCGGCCGCGCTTGTAGGTTCATTGGTGGACGGTGTCCCGTCCAGGGTGCGCCCCCATCCTGCCAGGGCGCCCCGTGTGGAGACGCCGAATTGGACGAGGCAGTTCGGAAATGGATGGAGTGGAGAAAACTCTGTGTGGAGTTTGCACGTCCCCCCCCCCACCCAGTGTTTGTGTGGGTTTCCTCCCACAGGACAAAGACAATGCTGGTTGGTTAATTTGTCTTCTGGGAAAAATCGGCCCTGCTGCAAGGTGTCTGCCCTGTGGTGGACTGGCGTCCCGTCCCAGATCGTACCCTGCCTTGGCTCCAGCTCCCCTGCGACCATGAAGTGAAAAAAGTGGTTAGAAAATAGAGGGGTGGATTATCGCATCGGTCATTTTGGAAGGGGAAACGTCCTGGTTCTGCTGGCAGCTGATCAGGGTAACGGGCTGTGAGCGGCTAACCCCAAACTCTGCAGATACCCGAGTATTTCCCCAGTCACTGGGGGTTGTCTGGATTGGCAGGGCTGGCAGGCTGAACTGCAGAGTTCTTTCCCCTTCCTCTTCTTCTTTTTCCCAGCCTCAGTCCCAGACTGTCCTGGGGTCAGCTGCTTTGCTTGCTCTTCTCCACTTGTCTCTGTCGAGCACATCTTCCTCACTCACTTCACACACCTCCATATCTTTTCTCACACAATCTATCCATCTCTTTCTAGGCCTGCCTCTTCCCCTGTTACCTTCCACCTCAAATTCCATTACCCTCTTTGTTACTTCCTCAACGTCCCTCCTCACGATATGTCCATACCACCGTAACCTCGCCTCTCGCATCTTCTCAACCACATCCACCACCCTACATCGTCTACGGATCTCTTCATTTCTGATCTTATCCTTCATTGAAATCTGCAGAATCCATCTCAACATCCTCATTTCAGTTCTTCTCATCAAGTTCTCTTCCCTCTTTCCAACTGCCAAGCATTCAGCTCCATATAGTAGTACAGGTCTAATCACAGTCTTGTACATTTTGCACGTTAACTTTCTAGGAATTTTCCTGTCACAGATTATTCCAGTTATTTCTCTCCACTTGTTCCATCCAGCTTTCACTCTTTGTTTTACTGCCTCCAGTGTTTCTCCTCCCTTTACCAGTTTTGATCCAAGGTATTTAAAGCCATTAACTTGTTTCAGTTTTCCTCCATTTGTCTCCTCAACATTGGTCATAGTATCTCCTCTTCTCTCCATTACCATTATTTCAGATTTTTCTGCATTCATTTTCAGTCCACCCTTTTTCCAGACTCCTCTGCCATTTGAACACTTTCTCCTGTAGTTCTACTTCTGAATCTGCCATCAGTGCCACATCATCAGCAAAGATGAGTTCCCAAGGCACTTCTGTTCTTACCTCCTCTGTCAGTGTGTCAATAATGTTTATGAAAAGGAAAGGACTTGGTGTACTCCAGCTGTGATTTCAAACTCTTTTGTCTCTCCCCGGTGTGTTATCTGCCCCCAATCCCGCCTTTGCCCGACTGCACCCCTTTATGTTACCTTTATGTTGCTGTCAAGAGACCAGCAGCTGTGCCTCCCCTAGGATTTGAACCCACAACCTCCGAGTTGCAAGCCCCTGTGCCGTTATGGCCACCCTACAGCTCTGCCCTTTGTTGGCTGTGGAACACAGCGCGGGGGACGGTTGATTTGTTATCCGGGGGGAAGCTCTTGTGTCCTCGGTCGCGAGGCGCTGTGAGAGACGTCCGGACTTCCTCCCGGTGTTGGTAGGGCTGGGGCTGATTCCTTTCCTTTCTCCCCGCCCGCAGGCGACGTGCTCATCATGGACGAGTTGGGGTACATGTACTTCAAGGACCGCACGGGGGACACCTTCCGCTGGAAGGGCGAGAACGTGTCCACCACGGAGGTGGAGGGCACCCTGAGCCGCATCCTGGACATGACGGACGTGGTGGTCTACGGCGTGGCAGTGCCAGGTAGCCTGTCCACCGTTTGACTCCGGCTCCTGTAGAACGGGCTTCCTGTGGGCCCTCCTGTCGCCCCCCCACCCCCCTTCCAAACAGCACAAACGACGAAACCCACCTCAGTCGTTATATCCCGGGAACGATGGCGGCACAAACGCTGCCTTCAGCGGCAGAAACGCAGCCATACCGAATGAAATCGGTTTCGGTTCCCCGGTGCCGCAGCAGGGGGGCTGGGTGACGTCACCCGCCCGAAAAAGAAGGCGCTATATCTCGGGACCGAAAGCAGCTGGGGGGCGGGGCGGTGGCTCTGTGGCTCAGGACCTCCGCCTGTGGCTGGGAGGTTGCCGGTTCAAATCCCGCAGCTGGCAGAGGAATCCTACTCCGTTGGGCCCCTGAGCCAGGCCCTTCACCCCAGCTGCTCCAGGGACGCTGTATAAAAGGCCGACCCTGCGCTCTGACCCCCAGCTTCTCTCCCTGTCTGTGTGTCTCATGGAGAGCAAGCTGGGGTCTGCGAAAAGACACATTCCTAATGCAAGAAATTGTATAGGGCTAATAAAGTGATCTCATCATACTTTCAACGGATAAAACCGGCACAAACGCAGCACTGACGAATGAGGTGGGTTTCTTCGTTTGTGCTGTTTGTAGGGGGGCCAACTGCACGCAGCTCATTCCGGTGGGCCGCCCAGAATTAGGGCTCCGGGACTCGCTTCCTGGAGGGCCGGCGTCTTCGGGCTTTCCAGTACGTCCTACCTGAGCAGTCCATCGAACCATCAACCGAATTATTATCTATGGTAGACGCGTGTAGGGGTTTTTTTTTCGGTTTTTCTTGTCCTGTATGGCATTACATTCGCCTGTGCAGTGACTAGTGAGCAGGAAGGGCCACATCACATCATGATGGGTGGCGACAGCATGCCGACTCACAGTACTTTTTACAACAAAGTTCACGACTCTGTGCTCGATTTGGAATTTGTTCCGCGTTTTCTAGACCGTCAACGATTTGTTCCCGCGGTTTAAGAACCAGTCTGAGAAACTGGGACTGCGGTCCCTCTTTCAAGGAGGCCGGAGGGCCAGCTTCCTTCAAAGGCCTCGATGTTCTGCCTCTCAGGCGCTGAGGGGAAGGCCGGCATGGCCGCGATTGCGGACCCCCACAACGGGACGGACCTGGAGAAGTTTGGGAGGGAGCTGGAGAGGGCGCTGCCCCCCTACGCGCGGCCCGTTTTCCTCCGGCTCCTGCCGGAGGTCAACAAGACAGGTGGGTGACACGTCGGCCTGGAAGCCTTTGGATCGAGGCGCGCAGCTCCGAGGCAGGGGGGGGAGCGGGTCCGAACTTCCGAACCCGCGCCGGTGCGCTTTCTCGGATTGGAGCTCCCCCGCAGGCTCCTGGGAATCGGCCTCAGCAGCGTGGGCTGACGGCTTGTGCCACACTACCACAACCCTTTGTGTAAAGGGGTGGCTCCTGTTTTAAGTTAACCGATTTAGCATGAGAGAGGGTCGGGGTAATTCCAAGGACAGGTGAACCAGAAACCAGGACTGAAACTTAAGAATTTGCCTCCGAAGAGCATACTTTTGGGAGCATTTGTCACAAATCAGCCAGTTGATTGGCCCATTAACCTTGGTTCAGTTTGTATAACACTCTGAAGAGTGCTGGATGAGTGCCGAGTGCTGGTTTATGTTAGTTGACGTCCCTGTCTGTTTGCCCAGTGCTGTTCTGATCGAAGTAGTGATCTAAGTCTCTGTCTCTTTGCAGGGACATACAAGTTCCAGAAGACCGAAATGAAGAGGGAGGGGTTCAACCCCAATGCGGTCTCCGACAAACTGTATTTCCTGGAGCCTAGCCAAGGGAAATACGTCTCATTGGACGAGGAGCTGTATCAGGACATCCTATCAGGAAAGCAGAAACTGTGACGTCCAGGACTGAGATCTCTGACACCTCAGAACCTGATGCTGCAGATCAGACCCTCTGCAGCAGGAGCAGAGGGGCAGTGGGGGGAGGGGGGGATAAAGATATATAATTCAATCCTTAATAGTTTTGAAGAACGGAGACGGAAGCTGATTCTAGGGCTGAAATAGATGCGCACAGAGGATCAAAAGGGGCAGGACTTGACAGATCTGACTCTCAAACAAAGTAAATAAATCTTCCTTTGTTTCTCTGGCTGGCGTGAAATGAAACCCTTTCTCTCTTACCTGGGGAAGAGCCGCCTGCTGATCCGGTATATTCAGGTTTCTCAGCGGGGTTTGCCGTCGGTTAACTGTCAGGCCCTGCAGAGTCGTTTTTTTTTTTTTCCCATTTTTAAAGTGACATACCGCAGCTGTAACTGTTGGGTATTTCCGAAAGCACATGCAGATTTTATTTTTTTAATTTTGTCATCGTTTTTATATTTAAGATTTTAAAAAAATATATTTTGAAGAATGTTAACCGGTGCTTTTCAATGTATGCTTAGCAGGTGTTGTGAGGCCAAGATTGAAGGCATTTCTCATTCGTTTGAGTTTTAATATAGAATGTTGCGAGAAATAAATGGTGTTGACTTACCAAATCCAAACAGAATTTATTACATTCGAATTTTGTTGTTAGGTGTGGCACATATCGCATTATCTGACCAAGTGCATTTTCCAATCTAAGCCTTGCGTTCTGTTAAGGCTGCTGTACGATCTGATTGCTAGGTGTGTGCTGGGTTCATTTTAAACTATTTCAATTTCAATTCTAAAGACGAGTCCTAGCTGAATGACAGGAAGTGTCAGGGAGGAAGGCAATTAGACTTGCACAAAGTGAGAAGCACCTAGAGGTGTGTGCAACACCTATATACTTCCCCCAGTTTCTTCTTCGCCCATCTTGAGACATCCGTTCTCCGCTCTTGTGTGCTATACTTTTGCGCAGCAAAAATGCTGGCTGCATCAGCGAGGCTTAATTAACAGGAAAGCACAAACAGAATTGCTCCTTCCAAAGTTTAAAAATAGCCCAAACCCTTTGCAACTGCCAAGGCTTGCAAAGACAGACTAAACACTCGATACAGGATGCATCTGGAGAGTAATAAAAAAAAAAACCCTGCAAATGACAAGTATGGTAGATGGGAAGAAGAAAAGATTTGAATGAAAAACGCCACTTTTTTTCTTATTTTTTTAAGAACGCAGGTTTGTTTAACAAACAGGCCGGAGTCACAGATCAGGCAGGCTTCGGGAATTTTACACGTATGGTTGAAAGGGTTACATTCGCTCAGCCAGAAGGCGGACACGCTGCTCGGATCCGTGAGAGACATGTCCACCCGATTCATGCTTTTTAATTGTTTGTGTTTCTGCGTGATCTTGGTGAAAACGAAGTTTGGTGCAGAAGGGTGGGGGGCCACGTTCCCCGCCCGACTGATCCAGTGATCTCGGTGCTATAAATGTGAAAATCCCCAGCCTCTTCGCCGAGGAAGAATCCAAAGAACACTGATCCATTTGCGTCTGAGCTCTCTCGGTGAAATATCCAGGGTGGAGGAAAAGGGAGTGAAAAAAACTAAAATAACTGTCTTTTTTTTTCCCCCGCAAACATGAATGAGGAGCAAAGCAAAGTGCTGTGCCTTAACTACTGGAGCACCTGTGCTGGGTCTGGGCCAGATTTTTGCAGAAATTGCTGGCCTGCGAGTGGAGAGACAGGACGATAGTCAGTCTTTCTCCCAGGACAGACAATAAACAGCAGTTTGGACACCCCCAAAGGAAGAATTTTTTTTATTCCACTCATCCTCTCAAGAAGTCTGGATAAAGGAGTGGCTTGTATAGGCTGCAAGGCACACTGCTCTGATGTGTGGTGGGCTCGAGAGACCCCTTTCAGTGTATGATTCATGTCTAGGGGGTCAAAGGGCAAAGGTCAGATTTCAGTCATTGTTGTTTTTTTCTAGGTTTGATTGTTTTGCTGTTTTCTAGCACCCAGCAGGGTGGTCTCAAAGTCTGGGTTTTGTGTTGTCATTACGGATGATCTAAGGTAGTTTTGGATTAGATCCGATTGAACGCTAGGAATAAAAAAAAGTGATCTGCGCGACGGATTTAAAAGCAGCTCAGTGTGCCTTTTCCCCCTGGTCCACATTCCAGTTTTACACGCCGGGTGAAGGTGAAACGGCCACTTTGTCACCTATGCGTCCAGTGCAGTCTTGGGCACACTCTTCGGCTGTGGGTTTCATCTGTGAATTTCTGAAATGTGATGTGCAGCTGTCCCAGTTTTTAGGTGCAATAATAAACAGATCGCTGATAAAAGATGTGGCAAGACAGTGCTCATTTTTAAAACCCATAACCATGTGTGCCTTCAGACCTTAATGATTGGTTCTTTAAATTGTCATTGTGTCATCTTTTGCAAAAAGCTTTTAAATGCAACCTTTTTCTCACCTCAATGAAATACGAGCAAAATGGGATAACTGTACTGGTAATTAGTCCCCTGAGACTGTTTATATACCCACATCGCTTACAGTGAAAGCACTGCGGTGAGCTTTCTGCCAGCACTGAGCTGTTAAACACAGATCCAGACCACTCGATCGATAAGGACCCTATGCTATTGTTCATAAGGACAGGGGCATTAGAGTCAGTGTCCTGGTTAAACTTCCTTGTGGAGTTTAAGAAACCTGGCCTGCCTAAAGTTACCTCTTTATTCACCTGGTGAAGCAACGTCTCACCTTCCCTGATCTGCTGGCTACTGGTGCAGAATGGCCACTGTTTGTCTCCCAGGTGGGGGCTGCTGGTCCAGAATGGCCACTGTGTGTCTCCCAGGTGGGGCCTGGTGGTGCTGGTGGTGGTTTCCTGGTTTCCTGTTCTGGTGGTGATCTTGCACGTAGCAGGCTGCAGTTGGCAGGCTTGCTGCCATGGGGTGACAAGTTTGGGGTCATTTTTAAAGGATCTGTGTGTGTGTTTAAGGGACGGGACTACAGGTATGCTGTAATGCAGCAGGGGGCATCGGTACTGTGCTGCTATTGCCCAGGTGTGAAATTTACTCCTTTAAGAGGGAAGCTGGGTACAGATGGTAGCTTCTCGTCATTGGCTCCTTAGCCAAGCACAGACACCAAATGTCTGAACCTGTGGTTCCCTTTGTGTGGAGCAGGATGACAAGGAATGAGGCAGGTTAAGCAGTGCAGAGGTTCCAGGTTGCAAAGCCAAGCCAGAGCCAATACCAGGAATGTGCAGTCAGCTCTTGCACAAACTGTATGTGCGTGTCCTTTCTCTGGCCCGGCCCTGAAACCCGAAGTTGTCTGAAGGTGGCATAGCAGGCCGTATCGAAAACAACTTCCTGAATGAGGCAATTTCAAGAAATCAAATGACTTCAAACCATCTGCCTGGAAGAACCTTTCTTTTTAAGCATTCCTACCTTTCTCATGGCTTGAAGTGCATGCGTTTCAGGGTTCTTGATATTTAAAAGAACCCCCGTTTTTTATTTTGTCCTTCAGAGCTAGCAAGCCCATCTTGTTTTCCTCACGGCCTGAAGTTGGCTTGAATTCGACACTTGACAACGAACGAAAGGGACAGGTCTGCCTCGAGTTCACAGACTGATCAGCACAGCCCCTTGCTTGCTCATGGTGTGTTTCGGGGACCTGGGGAAAAAAACCAAGCAGCAGAAAAGCGTGTGCTGATGTTCTCTGTAGCACCTGTAAGGTGACGGTACTGAGGCGGGTAGCAGGAGATGTTTTTATGGCAAGGGTATTTGTGCCTTGGGACTAATGTATCAAAAACGCTGTGTCGTAGCTCTGCGCTCAATTTGTTTTGTCCTCCCCCTCCCCCATTAGAACAGGCAACGTTAAACACGCAACTTCCTCTTGTGGTCCTTAGGAATAACTAAACTTATTTTTTTAAAGAGATTCTTGACACACGTGCAGCCTGGCTTGGGTCACTCCCTGTTCCGAGTTTGAACAGTTGGCTACTTTGCCGGCCTTCATAATAACCTTGCAATATACAGTAATCTTCTACTGTGGAGCAGCTGTGTGTGCATATAAATATATATAATTATGTGATATCCAAAGCTGTCCAAGTTCCAAAACATTTTCCCTTCAATAAGATCTGTACATTTTGTGTAAGAACTAATACTTTTTTTCTGAAATGGTGCAGGTCACAGCAATGTGTGATTTTGACAAATATGGAATCTCTTCTCCTTTACGACATCTAATTTATATTTATGATTTAACATAAAGAACTTCGATTAAACATCACCTTTATTTTGCTCTAAGACACAATTGTTTACAAGCCCACCTATTCATATAAGAAATACTAATAGTTGCTTACACTTATATAGCGCTTTTCTGGACACCCCACTCAAAACTGGCTTCATCACTCTGCTCTCCTCCCCCCTGAGAGTTGGTGTGTGGGGAGCGGACTGGCGCATCATCCAGGTGGGGCTGCACACTGGTGGTGGTAGTGGGATCCCCCATGACCTGTAAAGCGCTTTGAGTGGAGTGTCCAGAAAAGCGCTATATAAGTGTAAGCAATTATTAATACAGAGCAGTTCCCGGGGAGCATGCAGTGAACACACAACCAAGGAAAAGGCAGCACTTGTCTGTGTTTTCAGCGCTGAGAAAACACCGGCTGTAAATCCAGCACTAACGCAACAGGCCATCTGGGAGTCCTTGATCCCATGCAATCACGATGGTGAACCACGGCGAGCAGCTCATTGCCTTGTGGCATCTTGGGTTCAAAAATAACCACCTGGGGCCGCGAAGCAAAGTGGTCTTTTATTGGCAAGTCTGCGGGGGTGGGGGTGGGATGGTGCCGCTTTCCTGGGGCCCCTAGCAGAACGTGGGGCCCACGCCTTCGCTGAACTTCCTCCAGCGGTAGGGCCGCCCCTCCTCGCCAGCCGGGGGCTTCTCGGGGTGCGCCGGGGCCGGGGGGGACAAGCGGGGCCCCGCGTGTCGGAGGGTGGCCCGGTGGCGCAGTGCCCCCTTCACCGCGGTGTTCGCCTGCAGAGACCGCCACACAGGGAGACAAACAGGAGAGCTCTCAGTAACCCAGGCCTGTCTGCGAGCTCAACCCACCTGGCCATGGCTGAACTTCCCAGCCTGACCCAAGAAGTACCTGGTCTTCACTTCAGTCGTGTGGACACCTGACCATTTTGGGGGAGGACAACTTCCAATCAAGACCTCAAGCTTTCCAGAAAAGAGGAGCAGCTTGCTGCAGAGAGATCTCCCTTTTCGCCAGGTATGCTTGAAATTGAGCCCACAGCAGGTATTCATGAATACAGGGGCTCTCGGTCCTAAGTTGGGGGTCTGCTGCTTCGTGCTCCAGCTGGGCCCTTTCTCAGCCTCAAACTGATCTGCCTACTGGTTTAGACTTTTTGTTTCTGCACTCTGTCCTTGGTTTCCAAAATCCTCGGTGTAAAAGTGCATTATTTCCAGCCCCGTCAGCACGCCGCCCTTTGGGCAGTCTCGTCTCAACGTGGAGCTTAAGGATCTGCTCCCGTATTTGTGACTAATCGCTAGTCACAGGCTAGACCCCCGGAGGGATGACTCTGCAACAGAGGCCCCCCACGGGGAGTCTGACTTTTCCGTTCTGCTTAATTGCGCGTGCTTACAGCGGAGCTCTCGTTCCTGGAGAAGGACAGTCCTGAACTATCAGCTCTAATTAGCCCGGGGTTCATACCCATTACAAATCTCCCTGAGCTTTTCAAGAGCACTTTAAAATAAAACAACTCAAATAGAAAACGGAAACAAAATTAGCCTGTCCTGAAGTTGGAACAAAAACCAGCGGACACAATCTTTCCCCCCGCCGAAGACCTGCTGCCCTAAAGTTATGATCATGCTGTAAACATGTCGACACTGACGTGGAGAAATCGACACGCTGTCCGCATCGGTCTCCTCCGACGGAACGTGTCCTTTCCCAACAGTCTGCACTTCAGCACCTTTCTTGTCCATCCGTTTCCCAACTGCCTGATCCAATTTAGTGGCTCCACATGGGGTGAGGCACACCACCGCAGGGTACAGCCGCAGACACAAACACTCTCAAACCAAGGCCCGTTTTCCCCGAAGGCAAGCGTGGCTGTAGACTAGGGGGGGAGGAAACCCACGCGAACATGGGGAGAACATGCAACTCCCCCCAGACAGCACCCCAGGTCTGGAATTGAACCCTGGGCACCAGCTTTGTGAGGCAGCAATGTCGACGTGGCACCTCCTGCCACCCTGTTCCAGGTGCGTCTCAAAGTTTAAACAAGCTGCCCCCGAGTATCAGGGCACTGCTTGTCCTGACACTCCCCTCCTCCTCCTGGTTCACGCACCTTTCTAGTGCTGGCGACAATTTCCTGGTACAGGTCCTTCTGCGCCACACAGGGCCGGACCGCGCTCCCGCTGTCCTCAGACTCCTCCCCCGGCTCGGCCTCCGGAGAAGACTTTGGCGGGTTCCTTTCCAGGCTGTGGGGAAAGCGAGAGAAGCAAGAGGACCGTTCGTTCTTTAGACCAGCATGGCGCATTAAGATTAAGATCACTTGCTCGGCCATACACAAGTTTACAAGTTCAATTTCTTGCATGTGTCTTTTCGCAGACCCCAGCTTGCTCTCCATGAGACACACAGGCAGGGAGAGAAGCTGGGGGTCAGAGCGCAGGGTCGGCCATTTATACGGCGCCCCTGGAGCAGTTGGGGTGAAGGGCCTTGCTCAGGGGCCCAACGGAGTAGGATTCCTCTGCCG